TATTCACTTTTTATGAGGACAAAGTTTTTCTACCAAAATGATGGAAGATTGAAAACAAAAATTCTTCACGTCTATTGAAAAATGATTGTTTTTAGAAAATGCTAGCTTGTACGAGATGGTTGATCAATTTTCTCATACAACAATTTATCATATTAACTAAACAAATTAATATAGGAGTATACTTGTAAGTTGTATACACGAGTTACCTAGAATGGACAGGTAAATAAGTATACGACAACAACGTTGATCCTTGAGTAACTTTTAGCTTGTTGAATGCATATGTGCACATTTGTTTGTTTAATGTAAAAGAGAAAATTTTCTCTTTAGACGTAGATTTTACCAAATTGATCATCTCGTGAAAAATATATTACGACATATTGTTCAAGCGTATATACATTATTGACCTACTTTTTGATAGTTCAGGTTTTGGTAACACTAATCTCAATATTTTTGTCCGTCCAAGTATATACATATCTTCCACTTCGCTCGCATTAGAACACCGTCAAATCATTAACATTCTAGTGAGGACCAAAATAGAGGACTTGCTTGTCGAACCATCAACTTATGTCGACATCAATCTCGTTCTATACATTTATCAAAGACTAAGCAATCATAAATTCTGCTTTTGGTAAGAATAATCGAGAAGAAAGGGGAGCATGCAGATGGAGTCTCAAGGGGACAAATCATGTAAAACGATTGACTGCAATAACCTTCACACTTGTTTTTCTACATCGACCATAATTCGATGGATTTTCATGCGGCTTATGCTTATTATGGATGTCAAAGACTATGATATCGGGCCCTCCCACTTGAGCAAATTAGGCATCACCAGTGGTTGAGAATAAATAACATAGGATGGTGCCCAACTTTATACCACACCTTCTTCTGCTCGCACTCATCACCCCATTCGTGCATCAATCTACGCCCATCATTCAATATAAGCATTGGTTGGAGCACATTTTTGGTGAAAAAATAAGTAATGCTTCGTATTTCTCAAGGTACCTTAATGATTCATTCTTCGATATATATTTCTATAAGGATATACACTATTGAAATGAAAGATTAAAATCCTACATCCTTCAAAAAGGAGTATCCAATGTCGAGAAAGTGTAAAAGAATGCAACTTGTAGAAAAGAGAAAAGCCATAATTAGATGTATGAAAAGTCCAAGTGAGTAAGGAATAGAACGTTTTGTAAATGTTCAATGAAAGACGATTTTTTTATTCTTCTCTAAAGGAGATAATAAAGATAAACCCAACGGGCACTAAAATGAAAAATAATTTATAACTCATATGGTTGAAAACATTCACTCCTTTGCCTAAGGTCTCATGAATAATGTGAAGTGGGACAATATGAAAATGGAGCAAAAATGGACGATTTGACGATACAAGAGGAAAGTTCGGAATCCCTCATCCTCCAATATCGCTTCTATAGAGAAAGGGACACTATTACAAACACAAAAACGGATACTATTATTGAATATGTATTGTCTTTAAGTGAAAATTCTAATATACATTGATTCAATTGTTAAAAGAAAAAGGATAATGCAAGGAAGACCATTTATTTATACCATATTTATAAACCATATGAAAATCATTACATGGTGTTTGGTATGCTTGAATAAATAATGGTTGTCTTATGCCTCGGACAGAATGTTATTTACATATCTCAAGTGTCAAGCCCGTGAGATCTTCTAATGTTTCTCTAATGTGTGTTTATCTTCAATGATTCAAAGATGATAGGTATATCCAGGCTAGAAATTACTTCAGACAAATTCAAAAGATTTGTGAGAGATATGGCTGTACCAAATCGAGCCTCAGCTTGACAGCGAGGCACATAATTGTAATATAATGTCATTGTTGTAGGCCTAATTTTACTGAGGGAAAAAAAGGAAAAGGCTGGCGGCCAACGAAGAGAACAGAGAATTTGGTGATTCTCTAGAGATGGTTTTTCACTCCATCATACCTTTATTTATAGTAGTAAGAAATTGACAATCCTGACCTTTTAAGTAATACATTACAACTAAGAAACCATCTAAAAGATATTATAGAATCCTATAAAGATTAACAAAACTACATTCTTGACTAATTTAGGACTACAACAGTTCCGCTTGAGTTTGTAATAAATACCCAAACAAATGTCGCATTAGGTCTTCAATGATGAAACAAGAACAATTGATGAAGTTGTCTTATCTAGTCGGCACAATGAATGAATGAGAGTCAAAAAATAAACGGAAGAATGCATAGGTAGTAAAACTCACAAAACCACACTATGGTAAAACCTAAGGTAGGATAAAAGTATAAAGAGAAAAGTGAGAAGTTGCATTAAGTCAACACTAAACGCCTTCAGGACACAAGTAGAACACACACAAGGGTATGACTAGCCTAGGATGGGTGCCTTGTTAAAAACCTTAGCAGGTAACAAAAATCCAAAGGGGAAAAATGCTCTTAATTTTAGGAAAAAAGAGTACGTTAAGGTCAAGTGAGTATACTTTTGAATACTCCCCCCTGAGTTGGACAAAAATTCCAAATGAGAACTACAAGCATTGCAAATGAGATAGTTTGCGCATACCAATTCCTTAGAGAAGCTTCTGGAATGTTGACCTTAGCAGTGACTTCGAGAAGAGGTTAGCAATGTTATCTTGGATCAAATCTGCTTGACTTCGATCTTTTGATGCTTGCTGATGTGATTGGGGCGCAATATGTTTAGTGTTGTCTTTGTTGAAGTATCATGTATTTGATCTGGTCAATACATGCGTATTTTCTTCATGGATCATCTTTGGGACTCAATGATGGATAAAAAACCGCAAGTACTTCAAATGTGCTCAAAAAGAGCTCTCAACCATGTCTCTAACGTGCAGCGTAATGAGGTGCAGTGAGTCTTGGAACGATTCGAAAAATTCGCAATTAAGGTTTATATTGTGGACTTTCAAGATATAGTGGTATTCCCTAACAGTAAAGACATAATCATATGGAAACATGCCTTGTGCGGGTTTGATAAGTAACTAGTGTCAGCATAAAAAATAAGGCAAGCATCATTATGAGGATCAAAGGTTGGATCCACTCGGGATGCGTAGTGATAAGACCAAATTAGTAATACCTTCAGGGTAATGGAAAAACATCTTTAATGTCAATTCAGTGGCTGTATGTACAATGTTGTACTTTTACCAGTAGATTAATAGCGAAGAAGATGTCCTATCTAATGCAATGACCTAAAGAATTTTGTGGGGCATGCACAAGCAAAGAAGAAGAAACATAAGGATTAGAAGACTTGAGTGATGACTTGGGTTTTTATGTAGCATTAGGGCTGGTTCGGGTCGGGATCTTGAATTGAAACCCCTAGCCCGAATCCCAAACCAAAACATTTCGGGATGAGATTTTATATCACCAAACCAAACCGAAACTATTCATTTCCCGATATTCGAGATTTTCAAGTCACTTCAGGATTGGGCCTATATATCCGATGCTGCTATGTTGCTGGAATTAGACAAGGAAAGCTCTATTGCGGTCTACTTCCTTCTACAAAATTTCTAGTTTCAAATCTTCCTCAAGTCGTTTGAGTATTGGTGAGAATGCTCCTGCAATTAACATAGAACCATATCTTATACATTTTCCATTGCAAAACATTTGGAGAGAAGATACTTTGACAAAACACATAGAACCGTATCTTGCATGCAGGTCCTACACTTACCCACCCTAATTCGAAACCCACAGTCCTCAATCCCTTACACATTCGACAAAATACTCAGAAATAAAGTTAATCAACATGAAATTTGACCCTAAACACTTAAGAACAAAACCCAGTGAAAATCAAAAACCCTTACCTAGATTTTGGGACTCGATTGGTGTCGGATTCGAGTCTTCCTTCATTCGTCTGCGTGAGTCGATGGAGGAGCATCATGAGTTGATGGAGGATGAGGAACAGCGTGGATTCAACGAAGGAGCGGAGGGGCAGGAGCACGAGCGGCGGGACTGTGAATGAGACTGTGAGAGTGTTTGAGTGTGAGTGAGTGAGACTATGAGACTGAGAAAGATTGAGAGTGAGCGAAAGTGACTAAGAGAGAGTCTGAGAGACCTAACAAATGACCTAACTCAATGGACGGTTGGATTAGACCTTAACAAATCCAATGATTCAAGTAATTTCAAATATATATATATATATACAATATTCAGTTCGGTTCGGGATTGCCGAACGCTTTCAAAGTTGTGGCCGAATCCCAAACCGAAACTTTTGGGATAGGTTCGGTTTCGGGTACCGAATATTTTGGGAAATTCGGTTCGAGCATTCTTTAGTCAAATTTTGGGACGGGTTCGGGATTTTCGGGAAAAAATTCCACCCCTATGTAGCATTATTCCATTTATCCATGAATCTATTCCAACTAATTAACCAGCCAACCAAACAACATAGCTAGCAGTCTCGCGCTGATCAAGGCTTGGTTGGACCCTCGCCATTTTATCCTCATGTGTTCATGGTTGAAGCATGCTTGGTCCCGAACGGTGGCAATCAGTCGCTTTGCTTCCACTCATCACTTTACTTGATAGTTTATTAATTTCCTAGGATTGTGTATAATCAAATCGTGGGGATCTCAAGTATAACGGGATTTTTATTGAATCCATTGCTCTGGTTCATGTCATACAACATAATAGAATTTTCGCAAATTATTATGTTCATAGAACTCCTCATTTGGTTTGGTTAAGCTTCGGACGAGGCATGCAACTATAACTTCGGCCAACTTGAATGCTAAAACAAAACAAACGAAAACTTGAAGTGAATAAAAGTCGCACAAACATGTATTTAGAACATGTTACATATTCCCTACTTGAACAAATTTTTCCCAATTCCACTATTATTTTTCTTACAAAGTCTGTTCATTACATGGTATTTTCAAACCTTGTCGGTGATTAATCTAACAAAATCCATCGTTTGACCAAAAAAAATGTATTTTATTTGAAAAAGACGTTAATTTTGTGGTTCAATCAGAAAAGTTAGCACACACTATCCTGGTGAACTCATCCGGCACAAACCTTTTCATTTCATTTCAGATTGTAGGAATGTGACAGGAAAAATTCCACATTTTTCATAATTCACCCGAAAGCACAACAATAAATGATAACAATTCTCAACCATTGTTTTTGAATTTCTGAATGAATACTTATCCGGCTACCAATACTGAGATCAGAACATGAATCAGAAAGGTAATTGAATGATTCTAAAGCCCAAAAATTAGCTTACGGTTATATGCAGCTACTGGTACAAATAGATACTTCCACAATCTCTAATCATTCTCAACTTCAAGCTTCTCGTAAATTTCTTTTCCTCCGCGGAACATAGTTGAGTCGCGAACGTTTGTTCTTGACAGGAGTACAGCAGCTCTGACCATCAACCACCTTGCCTCTTAATTTTTTGTACTCCCTTGATCTTAAAACTGTCTCCATAATGGTAATATCTTCACGGATTTCGTGTCTGGAAAGAGAAGCCAGACCAGGAAGAACGTCCCTCTGAAAATCTTTCATTCTCCTCCCCCTTCTCAACTTAACGCCAAATTCCTTACTGTCACTGTAATTTACTTCAGAAGGCTTTGATGACACACAATAGGTATCTTCAGTGCTCCCTGCTAGATTTAGTGTGAGTAACTCATAAGAATCAGAACACTGCGGTTGTTCACTCTCCTTCGTTTCCATCTTTGTTGAACCTCCTACTTCGTAAGCGCAATCTTGATAACAGGATGAACTCTCCAATGAGATTCTGACAAGTGCTTCAGCTGCTGCTCTGATCATAACATCCAGTTCAGCTGAATCTCCTCCCTTGTTGAGGTCTTTGTGTTTTAATTCATTGTTGTCAGAAGATCTTCGGTCCTGCTCACCCATTAAAGTTTCTGAAACTTGAGACCCTCCATGTGTTCCTGAAAACTGATCAACGGAAAGGGGATTTGAGTTTCCGAGTTCAATCTCAGACTGCATAGTCTTTCCGCTGCTGGAATCATCTTCAGCATTGCAGCATGGTTTACATGAAGCAGAAGATATATTGCCATGTCCGTCTCGATCAGTTTTTTGACAATTATCAGTATATGGAAATACGGGGTCTTCTATTTTGTTGTTCTCACAATTCACTTGTATAGCAGAAGTACACGAACTACTTCGACTGTTCAGGAGTTTCATGATGAACCCATTGTTTTCATTACTGGGGTCACTACTGTGGAAACCAACTGCTTCACAGGGGTCTATCTTTGATCTAGACGCAGCCTCCAAGCTTTCATTGCCCATTCCGCTTATGCTCGATCCATCAACTTTCAAATTTCCAGCATTGTATTTTTGAAACCTTTCAGAACTTTCAATTGAGCTATTACTATTTTGCTTTTTCCCAGTTCCGAAACAATGAGTGCCCTCCTCTACCTTGCCAACTAATCTGTGTAAATGTGACGAGCTAGCGGTTGAAAGATGGGCTACTGTACGATCATTTGAGAGACAAGATGAATCATCATACTGAATTTTGTTGAGGTCCAGAACCCCTGTTTCATATGAACCGAACAGCTCCCTCCTGGTGGAAGAATTGTTAATGGCAATGCCACCGGAACACTTTTCTAATCCTGAAAAAGAGACCAACACAAATTTTAAAATTTGACAAGACTGAAATTTCAGAAACTCAATGCCATGTAAACAGTTGTGCACAGATATGTGAACCCGTACCTTGATTGAAAGGATTCCTCTCCCTGCCATCTAAATGAGGGTAACTCTCAGCAGCATGAAACAATAGATTTTTCTTCACACTACTTGAGATGATCGGATCAAAAAGGACAGAAACTTCTAAATTGTGGGTTCCCCTGACGCTTGTAATTGGAGCAGTACTGCTGAATGAAGGTGACTGCTCCAAACCCTCATTTGATGTCCTTTCAATCGATTCTTCTAAATCAATCACGTGTTGCGAGCCGGAATGAGTTTCTAAATCAAACCAAGTCCTCATAGTACCTCCCTCTATCCTATTGTCCTCTTGAATACTCAGGGAAAGCTTCACCTCAGCTGGATCTGTGAAATTATTACAACACAGATCACCTAAGTTCCAGAGTTACTTTCAAGCGATATTATTATCCTTCAGGAGATTCTTACCAATATAGCTAAGAAATTGGTCTGAGGGAAGTTTAAGCTCAGGAGTCCTCGGCTGGATCTTATCATCTACACCCTTGCACCCTTCTAACAAGTCCTGAAATTTGAATTGTGTAAAGCGGACTTCAAAGACAAGCACCGGCTCATCACAATAACACCACAAATTATAAGTAGTACAAATGAAACTAGGTTAATCATCGACCCATCTTTAGAGACTAGATGTTTCATTTATCTCTGCCGCGGGCTACAGTAAATGCAGATAGATCCTGACAAAATTAGTTGATAAGTTTGTTACATACAACAACAACAACAAAGCCTTTTCCCACTAAGTGGGGTCGGCTAGATGAATCCTAGAATGCCATTGCGCTCGGTTCTATGTCACGTCTTCCGTTAGATGATAAGTTTGTTACATAGGCAAAACCAAATTTCGGTCCAAATATTCTTCATTAGACCTACTGCTGTCAGTTTGAAAAGATCAAATACACAGCAACAAAACAAACAAGGGCCAAATGGGAGCACAAGCGGTGGCTGCTTCCACTCCTCTTTATCATAAAACCATTCTTCATGACAGGTAGGAAGTGAAAGATTCACTTACCATAGGTTCATCTCTAGCATAATTTTTCAGAGGTAAAAGATTCGACTCAGCTCCAGCTATGTTATAATTGTATCTACCAAACTCCACTGGGCCAAGGTTCTGCATAAGCGTCTTCTGTATCCTATATAGATGATGGAGTTGATGAACCTGTATGGAAATCAGTAGCGAAAATTATATACAGTGGAATCTATCTTATTTTTTCACATGTTTCCCAATATGCATCTTAAACACATGTAAGGCCACTTCAGTGAAGCCTACTTTAGAGTGAAACCCAAAGTTTACAATCTTCCAAAATGAAGCAGAAAGTGGAAATGATACAATTCTGTTTTTCTCACGCCTTACATAACATCAATAGACAACAAGGTTTTCCCATTGCAAAGCTTGTTTTTTATACGATAACCAATCATGCAGATGAACAAAAAACTGTGGTCCTAAATTATGCCAGGGCATGACTCAACTTTTATCCCGTGATTTAGAGTATCCTAATACCTGCTTTTTAAACACAATCTCCTGGCTGAGCATAGTCTTCCTCAAAACGTCGTTTAGAGAACCAGTGTATGCATGCACTGAATTCAGATCACGATCTCCTCGCATCAACATTTTTTCTGTTTAAGTAATTACATCAAATCAGATTTGCATCTTTGAGCATGACAGAATTTATAAACAATTTCCACAATGCACTTCAATGCCAGTCCCTACAAATCTCTGTCTAATTGCAAGTAATAAGAAGTGGTTTCTATACAAATCACTGTACAGAAACTATTAAGTAAGTAAGTATTCAAACTGGCAACTGAAATCTTGTTCTTTGCCGTTTGAAGGAAGAGTTTGCAAAAATATCTGTTGTATTCTCTCACTAGCTTTTTAGCTATGATCTCACCCCCACCGACTTTTTCTAGTGATAATCTGTTTTACACCACCTATCCTTCCCTCTCCTTTCCTCCATAGTTTGACCAACAACTAAATTTACCGCAATTAAAAGTAACATCACCGTAATCAATCCAAATGCAATTCTTCATGATTGAACTAATTATAATTAAGGCTTATTAATTAATTTTCCCCTTCTAATTTTACCCCCTAAAACTTGTTTTGCCTCACTTTGCCCCCGAAACTGCCATTGTCATCTCATGTAGTCTCAATTCACCAAATTTTTGTCAATTCCATCAAATAGGCCTTAAATTAAAGGGTAGTATGGACATTAGTTGTTGACTGAACTTAAGGACTGGATTCACATGCCTAAATTCCTTTCTCCTCTTTCACGTAACCCTAATTTGTTTCTCCAACTCTTCTCGCCACAATTCACATTTGGCTTGGTAAATATGTGATGATCACCCAAAATCTCCACGTAAGTGCCATGTTGCCAAGCATGGGGCTTATTTCTGCCTGCGTAACAAATGATACTACCCTTTAATGAAAGGTCTACTTGACAGAATGGATGAAAATGGCAGTTTCAGATGGCAAAGTGACAAAAAACAAGTTTAAAAGGGTAAAATGAGACTAAATGGCAGTTCCAGGGGAAAATTAATTAATAAGCCTATCCACAAATAAGTTCAAAAAATGTAAAACAAAAGGAAGAGCCTATAAACATCCATTGAACCTGAGTAAACAATTAATGAGACCTCTGTCATCCTAGTTGCAACTGTGGTAATCCATCTAATTCTCTTCTACGCTTGTCTGGAATTCGTTCCCCACATCAATCACAACGTCGACAAAGTTATCACTCTTGATGAGATGATAACCTAGATGTGAGAAAGGTTAATATCATGTTTTATCATTTCTGGTATTTGGGGAAATCCAGAAAATGGTTTTGTGGATAATCTACTCACATGGCCCATGGAAATTGTTATGCAACCAAACTACTTCGTAGTAAAGGTACTATTACTATTAATGCATCAAACTCCTGAACCAAAATTGAAAACCCAAAAGATCATTACTTTTTAACAACTCAAACAACAAAGAACCAGGAAACAACAATCAGGCAACACATTCCACACCCAACTACTGCAATATAATTCAACCAACACAAATCCCATGTACCAATTTCTCTATACATAGCAACCCAATCTCCAAAAACACAGCTTTCTGCAAAATTTGGAAATGTAGAGAGAGGGGAGAGACAGAGAGTACCAAGGTGAAGAAATATCTGCTTCTTCTTATCCTTCACTAAATTCTCATTTTCTCATACATATCCAAGGGACTGCGATCCAAAACCGCTGCCATGATTCAACTTGAGAGAGAGAGAGAGAGAGAGAGAGAGAATCGGATCACGCTGCGGTCATCAAAGGACTGATGGCGGAAAAGAAATTTCTGCCCAGAGAGATAGGAGAGAGAGGGGGAGAGTAGCGATGGCACGCGCAGGAAGGGCGCGTACCAGATCACATCCCAGTTGTTCCCACAACCAAATTTTTAATTCATCCTCTGCCGATATTTTTATCATCTTTATGTCTCTTTCTAGTTTCTCTCTCTATCTTTCTCTCGGTTGTTGGGATTCCTTTCTCTCTCTTGTTTCTTTATTTTCTCTCTCTATATCTCTCTCATTCTCTCTCTTGTTTCTCTCTCTGCACTTGGATTTCTGTTTTAAGGAGGAGCTGTCACTTGTCAGACGTGCTTCTGCAGGAACAGTTTGAACTGCAAAAGTAATTGACAATGTATCTTCCCTATTACTTGTCTTGACCTTCTTATCCCTCCTAATATCTCCCAAATTCCACTTTTGTCCTTTTTCGAGAATGGACATTTTTTATATTTTAAGTTTAAGCCATCTGCTAGGACAAGAAGCTTCTCTTTAGTCCTGTAACCCTCTAAAAATTATATTTTAATAAATAATGTCAGGTTTATACCATCTTCAACCCAAGAGGTCAAATGACCATAACCCAAACATAGTCATGTGACAAAAAATCACCATACTCCTTACACTCCCAAACTCTCTCATCTCAAAGTCTTCCATCTTCATCTGCTTGCAATAAAAGGGTGCAACAATAACACCGCCACACCACCTCGTCACCCCAGCGATCCCTCTTACCACTGTTACCAACCTCCATTTGAGAATTGAGCTCCCTGGGCGTGTACGGACCAAGGAAGAGTTCATATTGGTTTGACTTTTTCCGGCAAGTTTCTTCCATCCAAGACCAATATGGGAACACAGGAACATCGGGGAGGACAGTTCTCTGGGAAATGAAAATTGTGGTCATCCGACCACCTTTAGATCAATCTCCCAGCCAACACTAACCATGACTGGGCTTTCAATAAGTGAAACACATTGCAAGGATCTTCGATACACGCCAGGCGGGTTCGACCCAACGACATAATTTGTGAGTGGAATTGTTGAAAAGAAAATATCCACTCACAAATTATATAAAAGAAAAGATCCACTCACAAATTATGTCGTTGGGCGGGTTCTACAGGATGCACATGTAAGCTTACTATAAAGGGATGCCTGAATTTTATTTATGGTCAAGAATAGTATTATATTGACTAGAATTGTTGAATTATTGTGGCATGATCATATTTACATTATCTGCTCATCGTTGCTGCACCGGTATTAGTACTCACCCAGAGCCCGGGCTAGTTTTTCACGTGTATGTTCACATCGCACCGTACACTGACTTTGGATTCATTGTAGGTGTCAATCTTGTCCTAGATTGCTATAGGCAATTAGGACTCGTATGTCATGCGCATAGCACCAGTCTTCACATGATTGTAGTATTAGAGCGTAATTCATTATTACTCCCAATCTTGTTCATGTCAGAATACCTCTGCATGAACTCATGTGTCAGCATATGTCAATGAACACTCGATATGATATGTTTGTTTATGTGAGATTATGTGACTGCCGGACGTTAGATGGTTACTTGCGAAATATATTGTGATGTATTGAATTCTTAAGATATTGCAGGCTACGGTAAGTATTTTCATACTATACGTAGTATGTATATTTTGGAAACTATACTTCTTTTATAACGAGGGGTTATAATATTTCAAAAAGGTTTTTATTAAACTTTATTTTTAGGCCCACTCACCCTTGTTTTTTCACCTCTCCATGTTCTAGTGTTGAGCTTTCGTGTATGATGATTCTTGCTAAATCTTGGTATAGGTGGCTACCTTCGATGGTATAATTCACATCCTACCTTACTGAACTTTACTTATGGTCTGACATCACGTGTGAAATGGGTTCATTCCTGCTCACAAGCGCACTCTTATATTTAGACACTTTTAAGTTTAAATTTATTGATATTTTCCTCATTACTACACTTTATGGCTTTGTCACCCTCCTAGTGGCAGCTAGTACATCTCGAGTCGGAGTCTAGGTGGACATTTCGGATCGAGGTGTGTCAATTTGGTATCAGAGCATAAGTTTGGGCATTATTGCGTACATCGCACACGTGATGTAAGCATTCTCGGTTCTTAAGCCTAATTTCTAAATCTTGCTACCTTGTCGAGCACGGAAAATGTGTTGGCTTTTCTAAGTTATGAGAGATTTAGACGACTTATTGACCTTCTAAAAGAATATTTTGGTGACCGCCTCTAGACTTTAAACAAAGAAATTGCGTACCACTGTAGATTTATCAACCTATCCCACTACTATTATCTCATTATCTCTACCAACCCTTTCGAGTTAGGAAACCAATAATAGTTTTGATTCCTTGGCAATATCCTTTAGTATACCATCTATCAGAATTCCTACAAAGTTTACTTTCGTTAAGATTCCAAAAATGTCTTGAGCGATAACCTAGTGCTAAAGTGGTAGCACTCAACGGAAGCACTAACCTTTTCAAACGCACTAGTGATCATTCTGGATCTTCAAGAGGAAGATTGACTTCCGTTTAAATCCGTTGTAAATTATTAGCAAATTCCTTTTTTTTTTTTTTTTTTTTTTTTTTTTCCGGCATTAGGACATTCCAACCAACCTTGGTTCCTAGATTTCCTTTTGATGTTGTACTCGTCATTTTGATGAGTATAAAATGGTGAGTATGAGTTATTATACCTTCGGGTAGTAGAAATCCTTAAAGCAGTAATCAATATCTCCTAGAATCAACGAAACCACCTCTCAGGACCAGTTCCTTATCAATCATCTGAAACCATCTACCTGAGTGGGCTTTAACCTATAATTAGCCTACGGTTGCCCTACTAATTGACAATACTATCTGATATCCAGGAATTGTCAACTAGTATTTAAGTGGTATGATTTTTGATACTGGACATAGGTACTAGTATCTAGGAGTAATACATTTTTGCCAAAATGTCGGTTCATAGTTTCAGGGTAGCAAACGATATCAAAATATCATATATACGTTAATTAGCGGTGCAACTAATAGATTGACTAACAATGACAACCTGAGCCGAAGAAATTAAAATCGTGGGAACTTTAGGAGCAAACCTTGTTGGAGAACAGTAAACTTGTAGTTGTTTCAACTTTACTTTCCACTTAGGTAACCAAAACCTCTTCCACCAGCCATCTTTCTGATCACTTCCACAGACAAACATTAGAATTGTAGCACTAGTTTATTTCATGCTGTAACAACGAGATTAGTATTAAGGAAGTTGTGAAGACCTTTAGTGCGTGGCCTTGTGAAATGAAGTGGTATGGTACGTTTTGAGGACGTATATCTCTAGTGTCATTTCTCAAAATTTTACATGGGATGCCATTGAAGCACGAAGTAGAATAAACCATTGATCTACTTTCTCATACAACACCAATTTTCCTTGTATCTTTTTAAACAACTCATATGTCATTGAGAAAACTTAGTAACAAAAACTTACCGAATAGGAGTTTACCCAACCAAACATTTTAACTTCAGGAACCTCGAACCTATTTGCGAAGGATGAAAGATTAAATCTTAGGATTGTACCTTTATTTTAGCAACTCAATCAGGTGACGATTAAAACCTGGGTTACTGCGAATTGATGGCTACCCAACCAACTTTTAGAGTTCGAGTTTGCTTCCATAGCTTGACGAATTCATAGTAGTCTTATCGATGACTTTCTCATCTATCCCAAGCAACAAGATCAAATCCTCTAAACACTGACAATCAGCCTTATACCAAATTCCTCAAATGTTAGTTTTGATTAAATTGGTACTTTTGGGAGACGTGATCTCAGCAAATGATATTCTTTTCGTTTCTCCCAAAAAGGTTCTAGCTAAAGAAGTGTGACATCCCATAAAGTATTGTAATGTACAAGATATCCTTGGCCTTATTAACTTTATCGGCAGTTTGTTAACGACTTTTCAATTATAGCGTTTTCTTCCCAAGTTGGTTGAAGAAAAATTAGTTTAGCTGAGACGTGGAATATGATTAAACTTGTGACAACTAAGGTGTTGTCTATTTCCTAACCTGTTCGTACACTCTTCGATAACATCGAAAATTTCGAAATCCACGATGACGTTTTCTTTGGACATTTTGGCTATGTAGATGCAACATGACGGGATATCACTTATGTTTCCCAACGGTTGGAAATGTACGAAATAAACCATCTTACTTATGACCTAGAGTCAACAATTATCATCTTTACTTGACAACTGGGTGACACCTCTATGTGGAGAAATGAGTCCAAAATCTTTACTAACCTTAGACCTCTCAAATACATCTTCATTTGGAAAGAACTAAATTCTGACAGCGACGGTGGAAAAACCAAATCAATGCCTACGATTGCACTAACGTGTATCACCCCTGTTATGCAAACGTAGTTACTATTTACCACAACAACCGATATATGTACACTCAAACACTTTCAGCCTAAACACTTTCACTCAAACGCTTTCAGCCTAAACGTAGTTATTATTTAACACAAAAACCAAATCAAGACCTCCAAAATCTTCTATCTCATTCTTGTATCCAAATGGAGATGGTGAAATATCACCATAAACTCCCTGTACAAGGTATCTTGTACATGTAAAGATATGATGATATCTCAATGATTATCGATTGACTGACAAGTCAACTCACTTTCTGTTGGTCCAGGGAGACTACATTTATATCACTTAGTAAAATTTCTCATTCTTGAATTTTTCTAATTTTCTGGTGTTTCGATCAACATCTACTCTGACTGTGATTTTACATTCATCTTCTTGTGCTGGAAAGCATTTCATTCTATTGTGAGTACATGTCTACCCTATTACACTTCGTACTATTTTTTTGAAGCAGTCAAACTGTCTAGGAGAATCACTCGAACCTTAGAATTTTAATTATGACCTTTAATTTCTCAATCACCCAACAAATACTTTGGTGAATGGATCTTTACCGTTGGTGATTGAATATTCTGGAAGCCACCGTTGTAGTGACATGTTATGCATTCAATCCAGTTATCTTGTATTTTAGATTTGATAAACTTGCTTTGATCCTCAAATTCTTGAGTGTTCTTTTAGCCTTCTTGACATAGTTTTTCACTAAATTCAAGAGAAATTCACTATGAACTGCTTGTTAAGGCGTTGCGGACTACATGTTGTGCATGTCATTACCGTATCTCACAGTGATACGTGTTTCACTTCCAAGTCTTGGGAAGTCTTCTTGAATGTTATGAGTACAAAGTTGTTATCCAGTACCACACTTCACCCTCAAACTAATGGCCAGTCTGAACGAATTAGCCGGACCTTCATGGCATGTTGCGTTTATCTATTCTATAGTTTTAGGATGATTGTAGTAGACACTTACATTTGTTGAGTAGCATGTAATGACGCTTATTA